ATATATATATATATATATATAAAATAAATTAATTAACCAGTTAAATGAGAGAAAAAAACAAAAGATGAAAAAAAGAGAAAAACAATTTTTAAACATTTAAGGTTTAGAAAATCAATAGTAATTCAGTATTGCCATTTCCAAACAGGTTAAGAATAGGAAAGAGGTCAAGGGTCAGGTTTAGGTGGGAGGTCCATAACAACAAACTATTGACATTTCAAACAGATTAAGGTTAAGAGAGAAAACAAGAAGTCAGGTTTACAGTGGGAGACTTATGTTACCAAACTGTTCCCATCCCCAAAGAGGTTACGGTTAGAATAGGAGTCTAGTATTAAAATTGGGCTAATTTACTGTGTCTCCACCAGAGTAAGATCTAGAAATCAGAATCTGAATGAGAAGTATTTCACTGACACATCAGTAGAATAAAACAAGAATAGAATAAGAGCAAACATAAGGAATATGTACAGTTATGTGCATTGTATGTTGCTGAAATGGAGCCTTAACCTCTTGACACAATATAATGTGTTTATGGCTTTTACTCTATCACGTCTTGACAACTGATATGTTAGAGCATGGTCAAATCTGACCAGAACACAATGGGTTAATTTGTGTTAACAGAATATTGAACTGGAGAACATAGAACACTCTGAACATATAGATTCGCTCCCACTTTGACACACATATTAATGTTCCCTTCAGTATGATTTGTAATCACTTTGATGAAGCTCTGACTTTTCACACAATATTTTTGTGTTTTTTGTTAGTTGGTAAAAGTTAGCATGGTGATCATGGCAAGCTTTATACCTGCTTAACATCAGCGTGTTATCATTCTAAGCACATCAGCATGCCAACCTTAGCACTTAGCTCAAAGCTTAGCCTCACAGAGCCACTGTAGTCTTAAAATTGTATTGGCAGTACTGTCAATTGGGATACAGCCTCGTATGAGTCACTTGTGTTAGCAAGGAGTTATTCTCCATGATCTGTTTATTCCCCTCATCTTCCAGCCTCTTGTAGAAAACATTACATATGAATTTGATGCACTTAAAAGCATTTTTTTTCAAAGAAAGACAATGTAAAAACTAGACATACAGTAACAGTTATAAGTGTGAGCAAATGCACATGATACTTTTTGCACTTTTCGCAGGGTCTCTTACAGAACTGAGGCTTATGGTGGTGGGTAGCAGTGGACCTCCACAATTCCTTCTAACAAATGCCATACTTGGGAGAGAGGAGTTTTCTAAGGACATCACCGGTATTTCTGACAGCAAGAAGAACACTGGAGAGCTGGCTGGTAGACGAGTGGCTGTGGTCAATGGGCCAAACATCTATGACAAGGATATATCTCGAGCTAAAAGGAAGAATGAGCTGAGAAGGTCTAAATGCTTGTGTATTCCCGGCCCCCATGCCTTTCTTGTTGCCTTTGACTTGGAGAAAATCTCCCCCAATGATATGAGAGCCCCCAAACTGATGAGGAAACGCTTTGGGAGACACTGTCTGAAGCACTGCATGGTCCTCCTGGCTTATGAGGGAAACCTGGAGGGAGCCGCCCTGGAAGACAAGGTGCAGAAGACTGACTGGCACCTGAGAGAACTGATCGAGAAGTACGGTGGATGCTTTCACTTTTTCAGCAAGAACTGGAGAGACCGCAGCGGGGACAGAGCGCTGCTGCAGAAGATAGAGAGGATGGTGGCCTCTTTAGGAGGGGGCTTCTTCTCCAGCAGAACTTTCCAGAAGGCAGAGGTAGCTGTGAAGAAGGAGGAGAAGAGGCTCAGGAAGCAGAGGACAGCAGAGATAGAAAAGGCATGGACGGAAATGGAGAAGCAGTACATAGCGGAGGAGTTGTATCACCAGAGGGACGCCTACACATCCAGTGTTGGCGCTGAGATCAGAGCCAAGGCAGAGATGGACAACGGGTGGCTCAGAACCTCCCTGGCACGAGGACTGGGGACGGGTTTAGTTGTGGGAGCTGTCATGGGCGCACTGTTTGGTTCCATAGAGGGGCCAGGGGGGATGGTTCTGTATGGGATCATAGGTGGGGCAGTAGGTGGATCCGCAGGGGGAACGGCACAGGTAGCAATAGAGCATATGGAGGGCAGAGTGGCTCCTCCTGCCAGACTCAACTTTAACTCAATCTTCATTAATCGCTTCTTTGCAACTCCTCGTCCATGACAGCAAGGTATTGACTTATTATGACGTGTTTTTCAATAAAATATCATGTGCTCTTTGTATCTAACTTGCTTATGTAGCTTTCAGGCAGACTTGATACCAAAGCAGATAAGGAAATGTACAACACCCTCTCGGCTGAAACTGAAACTTGTTGTGCCCTTTGCAGCTCAAGGGGATTACTAATGGTCAACAATATAAACCTCATGGCTGATTTAAACTGTGAATTTGTATTTTGTGTCATGAAAACAACCAACAATTAATCATGTTCTTATCTGTTTGGGTTTTTTTGCCATTTCACAAACTCTCCTGTCATTTAAGATTCTTCCCCCTCTTCTCATTGCTCAGTTTGTACATCCTTGATTATTTTCCTCGCCTCCTCTCATTGTATCATCATCCCTCCCACCTGAGATGCAAGTGGAGGAGGCAAGGCAGAGACACGAGGAAAGAGTCGAGGCAACAGGCATCTATCATTTTCTGTTGTGGCCCACTGCAGTATTTCATGACCTCTGTCAGATATAAGCATACCAGTGTTTTTGACAATTTATACATTTATTTCAGTTGACTGTGGTTTGTATATCCCAGCTGTATATCTCACCTCTTTTATACATCAGGGGTGCCAAAAAAACTCCTGCAAAAGACACACCTGTGCATCCTCACTCATAGCTCCTCCAGCAAGCCTCCTCTTTCCTCAGAGTGTATTTTAGGGGTGCAATTCATCATGCTCGCTTCCTTTCCTTGTTTCTTAGTCCTTCCCATTGGAGATGCAAGTGGAGAAGGAGAGGAAGAGGCGCAAAGACGGAGGAGCCTTAGCTCTAAGCTCCTCCAGAAGCCTCCTCTGTCCTCTCTCTCCTTGACTCCTCAAGGTGCATTTAAGGGATTGGAAGATCCTTCATGAATGGGAACAATTTCCAGGTCATGGAAGGAGGCAAAGAAGCATAAGTTAGCATAATGAAAGACATTTGACATTTGAGACATTCTTCAAGATGGCGCACTGATATCAATTTCCAGGTCAAAGGCAGGAGGGTGGAGGGGAGAAGAGTTGAGGAGGCACAAAATAGAGAAATGAGAGAAGTCCTTTTTCTTCATCCTCATTCCCCTCACCTGGTCCCATTTCACTGCTCTTTTGCCAGGTTGTTAAGTATTTTGCTGCTTAGCTATCCAGTGGTTTCTGGCTCCTGTTCAGCCTAATCTCCCTGTGTTTAATCTTAATTCTCAGACCATGCCTTCTCTGCCTGCTTTCCCCTCATCAGATTTGTTGCCTGAGTGGCCCATTACCTCGTATTTTGACCTTTACCTCTCTGATAAGTAAACTGATCTTGTTTTCTACATAGACTGTCTCATTGTTGTAGTAATAGGTTCCTACCTGCTTGGTTTCCATTTCAGTTTTCAATAAATGGAGTTGTGATTTGTGTCATCACATGTGGGAGTTTGCTCTTAAGCAACATTTTATTTGACCTCCAACATTCCCTGGCGTCTCGCTGTAGGTTAGTTGAAGAGTAGCTCAGATAACATTCAGGGTGGAGTTTCAACTGAGAGTGCCATTGTCTAAAGCACTGCCTCTTTCCTAGACAACACACTCACCTCAGCGCACCTGTTCAGTGGACACCATTAGCAGTCTTTACGTTGTATTTCATACCTGAAACTGTGAACAGAATCAGTGCAGACCAGAAGCAGTTTTACCTGGACAAGAAAAACTTGAAAAGGTAAGCCCACACTCTGCTCGGTGAATGGTTTTACAATAGTTTCTGTTTTATTCCTGGAAAAGCTGCCTATTTCCTGACTGTGAATTTAGACCATAAAATCATTCACGGACACGTTGCATCATGTGAGAGTGTTTCCCAGCGTAAATGTCAGAGTAAGATGTGCTCAGGACAAAACGTAACATTTCAGAAGTTGTTGTATTGTGTTGAGTTGTTCTGTAGCTCCCTAGTGACGTAACAGTTTGGGTGCTACCTGTTTGACCACATACTTTACATCACATATTTCACTGAGCCGCTTCCGTTCTCTGGTAGTACACCGGTCGCTGATCACAAAGAAATTCCTGAGAAACTCAAGCGCCTGTGACAATGCCAACAAGAAGACTTTGCGGTAGAAAATAAAGAGAGGGATAGACATAATTGTTCCTAGACATAAAGAAGAATTTCCTGTCCTTTTTACTATCATTACATAATATGAGAGGAGTGCCATTCTGCCCTGAGAACATGACGTCCCATTTGTGCTGCTTATCTGAGCTGAAAATAGCTGTGCTCTCACATTTCAGAGTAAATGCTCCTTTTTTAAGCAGTGAGTGGACAGTACTTCGAGTTTAAGATGATTTGATGCTACATCTCTTTTATTAAATTTGCAGAACTTCTAAAAGACAACAAATTGTAAAAGATTAAACCAATGTTTTCCAACTTTTCTGGCTTGTAAACAGTATCTAGTTGTCTACCTAACTGCCTACCTAGTGCCATTTCAAATAGTACATTTGTCAAAAGGCTTTTGACAAACAAACAAACTAAAAGAAATGTCCTCAAACTTTGCTGACATTGATCATGTCACTGTCATTTTCAGAGCATGGCCTCTACAATTGGCCTCCTTCCCGAGAAGCACTTTTTGTGTCCTCTGTGTAGAGACATCTTCACAAGCCCAGTGACCGTACCATGTGGACACAGCTTCTGCTTGTCCTGTCTCTCCCACTACTGGACACGACACCAGTCCAAATACTGCCCCCACTGTAGGAGACTGTTTGCTGACAAGCCGGACCTCAGTGTCAACCACATTCTGGCGGACATCTCAGACAACTACAGGAAGAATCGACCACAGAAACCACCTGATGAGGAAACGGTACTTTATTGCATTGTCAGTTATTCGGTCATGAGCGATCTGATTATCAGTGCATCTAATATATTTGTGTATGTCACCGTTGCAGGTTATAGATGTTGAGCAAATGATTCAGGAAAGGCTGCAGAAGATAGAAAGGTTTAAATATGCTCTCGAGCTCCAAAAGGTGCGTTGAATACCTCTACATAATTTAAGTCTCTTTATGTATGTCTTTGAATGATGATACATGATGGTGTCCCATCAGAGCTCCTACCTCAGAGAGGTGCGAGAGAGCCAGAAGGTCTTCTCTGCCCTCGTACATGCCATGGAGAAGAGTCACAAAGCAGTTGTTGATGCAATTGAGGTGAGACAGAGAGAAGAGGAGAAGAGAATAGAAACGCTGGTGAAAGAGATCGAACAGGAGATCCGGGAGCTGAAGAAGGAGACCACTGAACCTGATCTGCTGATTCCTGTACACAGCGATCAAAGTGACGATACCAAGCAAGTTACCGTGGTGAGCACCTCTACCTTCTGCAGATGATATAATGATAATGGTGAATGGCTACCATCAGTAATATCTTTGTTCATGTCATGCAGAGCATTGTTCCAAAAATGTGCCCCTCTGAGGTGAAGGACTGGTCCAAGGTTACAGCAGAAACTGACCCTTGTATTGGGGTCACCAGACGAGCACTGACAGACATCATGGAGAAGATAAAGGTAGAAGTCAACAGGCTCTCCAAAGCTGGTGAGTAACGCAGCTTTTATCGTGCATATTAAATGAGCATTCTGCTATAAATTCAATGACCTTTCTTCTCCCTTTGACTCTTCTTTGACAGAACTCAAGAGAATAGAGAAATACACAGGTAAGACTTTGTCTACACAGACACAAATATAAGGGACTGGACACAAGTTATTAGAGTGGGGAGATCCAAATAAAGCATTGATAATGCAATAGAAAAAATGCAAGAAATTGAAATATCAACCTTAGCACCAAAAAAAAAATGTAGGCATTGTACGTGTCTCACCTTGGTGTCACACCATCCACCATTCCCTACACCTCCTGATGACAGTCAGCTCATATACTACATAACTTTAGAAACTTAAAATATAACATATATGAGGTTTGTAGAAACATTCAATGCCAACATTTTCTTCTGATGACTGGGCAAGAAATATAAGATTTAACCCAACTTCCTGATCCCCAGTAATGTACTTTCAGACCCTTTGTACTAAAGATACCCATGCCGTTTGACCCATTCTTGACCTTTCTCCTTCTCCCTCTTTCTCAGTGGATGTCAACCTGAGTGCTAAGACAGCCCACCCCTCCCTCTCTGTCTCAGATGACAGAAAACAGGTGAGACACACGGACAAGCTTCAGGAGGTACCAGATAACCCCAAGCGGTTCGACCGTGTGGCGAACATACTGGCCAAAGAAAGTCTCAGCTGTGGGAGGTGCTACTGGGAGGTGGAAGTCGGGGAGAAGATCGAGTGGACTCTGGGTGTTGCGAGACAGTCCATAAATAGGAAGGGCAAGTTCACTGTCTGCCCTGCGAATGGTTTCTGGACTTTAAGCCTGAAGGCTGGAGGCCAGTTCATTGCCAACACCTCTCCTGTCACGCCGTTGGCTCTGGAGCAGAAACCCAAGAGGGTGGGCGTGTTCCTGGACTACACAGAAGGCCGAGTGTCCTTCTACTGTGCAGAATCAGGAGTCCACATCCACACCTTCACAGATGCATTTACAGACAGACTTCATCCGTTCTTCAGTCCTGGTCGCCTGCATGGCGGCAAAAACGCTGCTCCACTAATCATCTCTTCTAGCTTTTGCAGCATATAAACATCATACTTTTATTTTTATATTTGCAAATCTCCAATGATAATGCTTGTGATGATCTTTTCTGCACCAATCCTGTATATGAAATATATTTATTCTATTACAAATCCATATGAAAAACTACAGTGAGCCACATTCTGCCTGTCAGAACAGTGAACAAGAGGTTGTGTAAGGACTGACTCCCTACACTCGAAAAACTTCAATGAAACCCATAAACAGATTGAAAAGGACCGAGAAGAAAAGCAAAGACTCTCAGAGATGAACAAGTGAGTCAAAGTCGAAAAAAAGCAGAGAAAATGGGCTGCTGAGGTGGATGGATGCAAGAGGCTGTGAAGTTGGGACAGAGGTTGACGAGGAACAGGGAGGGAGGGCACAGAGAAACAGCAGGGCATTGTGCTCGTACACCAGGCACTGGGAGACACACTCGAACACATTCACTCATTCACACACCGACACGGTCGTGCACACAAGCGCATGCTTCTGCCCACTGCCACACAGAATTGCGCTGGCATCTCGGAGGGCAGCCCCATCTCCAGTACAGTTCTGGGTGTCAGAGCTGATCGACCCTCTCTCCTTCAGTTCACCTTACCTCTGAGATAGAGCCTTCCCTGATCTGCAGCCTTCATGTGGACTGAACTGAATATCTGAGGGCTGCCATTCACAACACCAAGCAAAGGACCAATAACAGTAACCTGTGGACCGAGGGGAGCAGCGAGAATCCAATATACTTCATTTGAGGTAAATATCTATTGTATTATCTCCTAGTAGTACATTAGTGACACTTCCAAAACTGTCAAAATCAATTGGACTGAAAATATGTTTAGCTGTTTCACAATTTAATATAGTATTTAAGTAGTCTCAGTGTTGGAGGCAGGGTTAAGGATCACTCTCGCCTCATTGTGAGAGCCAATAGTTGTACCAAAGATAATGCTCAGACTCCTAATCTGGGGTCTGGGGGTCTTCTGGGCCTTTGAGGGGCTTTATAAATTCATGCACAATCTTTTGAAACAGTAGGAGACTGTGGGCCTGCCAGAATGATTATTCTGGTTTCAATGATTCGATCCATTGTTGTCTGCCCACTTACAAAACAGACATTTATTCATATCAAATCTACTGTAAATCATCCAGGATCGGGATCTGTTGGCTACATGTTCATCTAAAGGGGGCCCAGTAGATTAAGCTTCTGCCTCTGACATTTTTCCATCCGTCCTTGTCATAAAGCAACCCCTCGACTGAGTGTGCCGTGTGGGTTTGATTCACAGAATTGGTAAAATGAGGCTTCTGAGAGCTGTGATAAATAGATGACATGGGTCCTCCTGGCCCACTCTACAAGCCTTCATGAAAGATGCTTGTGTTCAGAGTCTCCTCATGTTTTTCTGAGATAATCCACTCACCAGGCAAGGCGTAGCTCGACACCCACAGCTGTGTCAAAGACGGCTATTCTCTGTGGTGCTCAGTGGAATCCACTAAACATGGGCCTTGCAGCCTTTTTCCAAATATTTATGATAAATATATGCTCCATCTGTCCATACTTAACTGAGCTAATGCACATTGTCGTAAGTAGTAAGAACCTGTGAGATTTGCAGCACTAATTGTATGATGAATCAAAATTTCAATTTGCTCTGTTTTTGTCCTCATCTGAATTTCAGGATATCTGTCCTTGTGTGACTCAGCTGAACTCAACGACATCATCACCTGAAGACCGAGGATCCTGCAGTGGAGCACAGTATTTTCAGTACTGTAGACTGACACGTTTCTTTGTGGGACTATAAGCTGTCCCACTGCAACAGAGACTGAGATCAAACAGTGACAAATCCATCTGATTCAAACGACACCTTTCACCATGGCGACCACGGGCATGCAGTTGCTGGGCCTAATCCTGTCTCTTGTTGGGTGGGTTGGTGGGTTGGTAGTCTGTGCCATCCCCCTGTGGCGAGTCACTGCCTTCATCGGTAACAACATAGTGACGGCTCAGATCATTTGGGAAGGCCTTTGGATGAATTGCATTGTGCAGAGCACAGGTCAGATCCAGTGTAAGGTGTACGACAGCTTGCTGGCCCTGCCCAGTGACATGCAGGCTGCCCGAGGCCTCACTGTGTTCTCCATCCTGATCTGTGGCCTGGCTCTGGCTCTGGGGGTCCTAGGAGTCAAGTGCACTAAGTGCATTGGTGTAAACAGTGTCAAGGCCCGTATCGCTCGCATCTCTGGTGCCCTTTTTGCCATTGCAGGGTTACTCTACCTTGTGCCTGTCTGTTGGACTGCCCACTCCATTATCAGGGATTTCTATGATCCACATGTGGCAGCTCCACACAAGCGTGAGCTTGGCCCTGCCCTGTACATCGGCTGGGGGGCGTCAGCTTTGCTCCTCATCGGGGGATCTCTGCTCTATGCTGGGTCAAGTCCCCCTGGCATCCCAGGCTCTCCCACCTTCAGCAGTGGAGAAAGCAGTCCTCGCAGGGCACCTGCCACACAAGTCAAAGGTTATGTTTAAGTTTCCAAAATGTCCGAATGCCTTCAAGTCCCACAAATACGCCCCAAACCTGATTCCTCTCCTTCTGATTTAGCTCCTTGTAATTATTTTATATTTAATGTTATTCCAGTAAGCTTTTTTTCTCTGAAAAGCTGCAGGAGGCTACTAGGGGAAAACTGAACTCATTTTATTATTTCATACCTGATATCCTTCAATAACCTTGTTCTCTGTCTGTCAGTGTAAAATACAATAAAATTTTGGTTCTCCAAATCCTCTACTGAGAGAAAGGGTGTGTGTTCACATTTTTATGATATCAGCTTACAACTGAATGTGTTTGAGAGAAGAAGTATAGTAGTTTTGAAAAGGAAATCTTTGTTTTGCTTTCTGTAAACACTACTGGGGGTTCTGCTGAGTGGAGAAGAACAATAGAACAATGGGGGCGTGTGTGCATTTGCTTGTGGTGCCATATTGTTGAGAAGAGCGCGTGTGTTTGTGTGTGTGTGTGTGTGTGTGTGTGTGTGGTCCACCACCTCCTATCTTCCATCTCCTCTTTCCTGTCTCGACTACCCTGTACCAGGAACAAAGAAAAACACTTTCATTTACAACATAAAAATCCTGTTAGTCCTTTGATTAACAGTGAGCACAGCAAACCAGCTGTCTTAGCACAAGTGATCCCAAAGCTCCCGCTACTCTTCCTCTGAATCACAATGGACAAGAATTCACTGACATAGCTAGTTTCCACCACCTATCATGATAACAGAATGTACAAGTTTGTAATGCATGTCTGTGTGCCTACTTGTCTGTGTCTCTGCGTGTAAGCCTGTAATGTGGGATGTTACGAGCCACAGTGGAAAAAGAATAATCCTTATTCATGAGACATTGTTCAGATCGCTCAGATTCTGTGCTCCTTCACTTTGAACTAAATGTTCGTCCACAGACATTTTCAAAGACATTTGAACAGTGAATTGAAACCACCAGAGAGCCTTGGAGTACACAATGAATCATAAGACACATTATCTGAAACTAGATTAACTGCATAGAAGGACCCGGGCATTTGCTTTTATCTGCTGTAAACAGTAGAATGTTTTTCTTTCTGTCTGTTACAGCAGAGGACAGAGCAACACAATGCCACTTTATAGAGCATTACAGCACCACACTGACAATGGGCACCAGTGTCCCAAGTGCCAGGTAGTGACTCATACATGACCTAAGTAGGCCTATACCAATGTTGGTAGAGCAATGCTGTGGATACAGTAAGGGAGACTGTACTGTTTTACTGTACAATTGTGTGCACTATTTACATTGTAAATAATAATGCAGTGTCTCAAAATAGGTATGATATCAACACAATGATAGGCCTATAGTAGCAATTGATTATACAAGTCTACTGATGATTCGTTGATGATATCATTCACAGTGTGGTAAACCATCCTCAAGGGCAGCCCAACACTACTGATGGAGGTAGTGGAGAGTCAATGACTTGTTCAAGACACATCACCACTCTGCTGCCAGCTTACATAAAATCAATGTTCTACACAGGTCTGAATTTAGACCTCATATCAAGAGGAACTGTCAGGGAAATAGACACAGGATTGAAATGCAAATGGTTTAGTTAAAATAAATAAAAAGGTTGTAAAGCCGGTGGTGGAAGACATATCCTTATCTTATCCTGATCTTTACAAGAAAAAGTAAAAGTCCTGAATCTAAGGTATCCAACATATCTAATTTAATTTCTAACATATCATTATATAAGCAGCATTATAGAGTAACTCAACAGCAGTAGCTGAGCAGTGTCTTGCTGGCCTCTCTGGTTGAAAGTTTCAGGAAGTTTCACCTCTGACTGGGCTGCACACTGGTTGGGTGTGGACCAATTTGTACCTGCTTTGTTGCACCTGTAACACTACAGTACACCTGAATGTCACTGCAGCAAGGTGAGTAGATAGCCACTGGAGGTCAGAAAAAAAACAAGATATTCAGGGTGTGTGAAGTTGCTCTTTAGTTAATTTTCACTACTGTATATACTGATGGGTAATTTAATTACAGTACATCATGTTCTATATAGTTATTATAGATCTGTAAAATCTTAATCTGCAAATGAACAATTGCATATAGATGTCAAATAAATGTAAAGAATTAAGAATTGGGGTTAGGGGGAATTGATACATCAAAGTCTTGCAATATTTTGGGTGGCAATATTGTATGTATACAAGAACTCCAAGTATTGATATTTTTTTAGGGATGCATGATGTTGGATTTTTTTTGTAGGCAGTGGCTGATAATGGATACCAATATCAATATATCAACTTTTTCCCCACCAGTGGTCATCAAGTCTCTTGTGTAGTGGAACTAATGTCATATTTTGCATGCATAGTCTTATCGTGATGGCCCTCAAGCAAATGGAGAAATGAAATTAAATGCATTTCAATGTCTGTAATATTCATTCATTGTGCAAAATAAGAAAAAGCATGTTGGCCGATTCTAATAGTTAATTTTAAAGACAATATCGGCCAATAATGATGATGTGCCAATATTAACGTGCACCCCTAATATTTATTAAGGGTATAAAATTATCAATATTGCAAATACAAATTAGACTTTTGGTAGTCTTCTAGAATAATATATGGTAAAACTTCAATTAAAAACCAAGTCCCAATTAAAGGCCCAGTCCCTTTGCAGATGTATAAAACCGTGTTGTTGAACACCTCAAATTATGTGTCCATTTCTCAAAGTTATTCATATTCTTTTAGTCCATAAGGATCCTCAAGTCAAAAGAGTCAAAAGGGTGTTTCATAAAAAGCAATCCAAGTTTTGAATAATGTTTTAAGAGGATAAAGTGGTGCTGTGCTGGTATACCAGGTGCCGTAATCCTCCACTGCCTTAACACTCTATCTCTTATGCGCTGTCTGTTGGACCTAGATCAAATGAATGACTCATAATTGATATGTGATCTGAAGCCTAATTTTAATAGAAGTAATATTCATACTGCCTTAAATACACAATTTGATTGTATTTCCTGATCTTTGCTGATCAGCAGTTTTGTATGAAAGGAAGACTTGTCCCAAATGTAGGCCTGTTGATTTCACTGATTTAAGCAAATAATAGCCCAGGTTATTGAATGAAAATTTAAGGTAATCACCTGCTTTTTCAGTCCACTAAATACATTTTGCTTCGATAAAACAACTTAAGTGAGATGAATAGACCAAAAACTTAGGGAGACAAACAGATGTTAATAAAGTTTTCCTTTGGAGACACAATTTGCATTTGAAAAGGGTAAAACATTACAATATATGTTATTGTAATACTCAGCATATCGCAAAACATTTAAAATCTCTATCATGTTACATTGTCACTTAAGTATGGTGATAATATGGCATTGTGGGGCCTCCAGTGAATATTTCCGGAAGTTAGCAACGAAGTCTAAAGAAGCAGAAAACATGCTAGCAGTTTACCTCACAAGTACTGCAAATACTTTCTTCCACGCCCTTGACATATTATTTATCTGTGATAACTGCAAAAAATGTACTTGTCATTACATTTTCTTTCAGTCACCAGAGGGAGCAAATCCCCCCATGTTGTTGTTCATTGGCCGGAAGTGGGAAGTAGGAAGAGCCATACAGCTGTGCTCTGTGCTCCGTGGCTAACAGATAAGCTAACAAGCTAACACCTCAGCGGTGAAAATACCAGGACCCGTTGACTAAACAAGACGCCTCGACAGCTACTTTGACACTTTGAATCTAATATGGGAAAAGGTGGAGGTACATTTGAAAGGCTTCTGGGTAAGTTATCACCACATCTGTTAGGTTAATAGTTTATCAGCCAACTGTGAGTCAAAGTGCGATGTTTTTCCAGCGTATTGTTTTGACAGACGCTGGGGCTGTGGCTCTCAGGCCAGCTAATTTTAGCCTGCTAACAATTTCGCTGCTATTGTTTGGAGGCCTAAGAAAGGCTCACTTAAATTAGCAAGTAGCGAATACAGTGTTATGTGTCCGATATTTTTACCCTAGCTCTCATGAAAGCTATGTTACCTTATTCTTGTGTTATCTCCGTGCTACCATCTAAGCTAAACCGGGTTGTCGATTTCCTTTATGTTCACCCCAGCTTCATACACGATATAATATATTAACGTTAGCTAGTGATTCAGTAATAATGCCACTGTGTAACTCATGACATGGCCCCGGCTGTCCAAGAAAGCCAAGCGGCCGAAGACAACATTGATAGTTGAGAGATAATTAACTTTTGACTTTTAGTGTTGTAAGTTTTTTAAGTCCACAACAGGTTGATTAGCTCGCTGCTAGACGAGTATAATTAGCACAGCTAGCTGCTAATCTAGTCTCTGTATAGATCAATGTTACACCGAATTAGACACATTTCCATGAAAATACAGCTGGGAAAGGTGGTGTGAGGTGGCTAATTAGCTTAGCTTACCTTAGCACTCTCCAAGGAGAAAATATCTCCTTTATCATACATGTACAGCAGCTTGTAGGCTAAATTAATAACCAACACATAGTCATCTATTGATAATATTCTTACTTGAGTTTCAGTAACAATTAAAAAACTGTATATGGCACAATCAATGCATAAAATGAAACAGTGCTTAACATAAAACCAGACAATAAATGGCCTGTCTTGAAGGGGTGCTATGAGGTAAAAATGACCTCATGAAGCCAGCTTGTAGACCACCCTCTGTGCATTTTGTACAATGTTTTTTTTGGTGGGACATTACCAAGTTTGCTTTCTTGTGCTTTGTGGTGTGTTGTCGAATTTGCAACACAAACATTTAGAAATACACACCATGTAAGCATAGTATTTTTTATGTAATGTAGTTCCCTAAAACTAGATGTTGACACCGGGCTTCAAGATCAGGTACAAACAAATCATGTCAGTGGTAATGTGCCATAGTTGTCCATATTTTTCATATTCCAAAAGATACAGTTATGTGAAGTATTACCACGCACCAATTGCCAAACAGTTAAGCAAGGGCTTTTTTTGGTTGTCCACTTCATCAAAGTCACATTTCACAAGATGGAGTCAGTAATGAGACAGTATTTTGGGAAGAGTGCTGGCACCCCCATTCAAAGCAGTGAAATAAGTCCAAACATTGTGTTACTAAATCATAAGACATCTTTTGAAACTCAGCAAATTTAACTTGTATAGCACATGATAACCAAAGTGAAATTCCAGATCATATTTTCTCTCACGTCACCGCATTGCACATTACAAAGTTAAAAACTTGTTTGTTTCTGCATAAACAACACTGGGATGTAGGTCAGTTATGTGTCTCTT